GGGAGGGGGGGGGGGGGGGGGGGGGGGGTTGATATTGTTCGATCAGCCGGTCAGGGTGAGTCAAAGTAGGCAAGCCCACGGGTTTGCACTGTCGCGTTGGTTCGTCGAGAGTATGCATTGAGAACCTGGGGCTGTGCATTCGGTAGCTATCGGTGGGCAAGTGTTTAGAGCAGGTGGGTTTTTCTAGTCGGTCCCATTCTAAGGTATTGGTAAACATGGAATACGCCTCAACTTGGAATTGTTCCAATCTTTCGAACAAAAAACTTGTCGTGATTTCCCTCGCGCGCATGGAAATCGCTTGATTTCATCAGAAGCCTTCGAAATCAAGAGCCCATCGCTTTCAACGCACCCCAGCCTAGTGAGGGGCCACTAAATTCTGTGAGACTCCACCACGCATCCATGCCCTTTTTTGGGGACTGCTCTGTCTCGGGTTAAGTACGTAGCCTTCGATGCCAAGTACGAAGTACGTAACTGCTCCGCAAAGGAACAAATCGAGAGACCACCTGCTGTCTGCTGCATCACAACAACGTCAAGACGGTGGGCAGACCAACCGCGTTCACAGCTTGTCTTGCCCTGAACTGAATGAACACTCGGTGCCTGTGAAAGCAGGGAACCCGGTCGTCCTCGACAAGCGTTGGAGAATGTGACCCTTGCTACAAAAGGTCATCTCCACCCACTCTCTCTTGGCTGCTATGTAGACAGCAAAAAGGCTCCTACAGTACGGATAAAACGGGATCCCGACCGACTTTCGGCGATTCACTTCTTAACAATCTTCTCCTGAGCGTCATTTGACTGGTGCACCATGTTCGCCACGTCACCACAAGCTTACAAGTTCCGATCGTCTGATTTTTTCTTTGTCCCCTAACCGTTGTACGCGGGAAGCTGAATCGAACCAGGTTTGCCACCCAAACCAGACATCTCACTGCGACGCCAAATGTTATCACAGACAGAAGGAAATCGTCCTCCAAAAGACGTTGGGTAAATGTGACCCTTTCTAGAGGTCATCTCCACTTACCCTGGTGGGGTGAAAGTTGCATTTATTAACAACAAACAGGAGAAGATTACCAAGCGCCCCCCTCTTTCCGCCTCCTCGCTTGAACTTTTTAACCTTGTTGATCCTTGAACGGCAGTCCCCTGTCTAAAAATGATGCCATCTCAGGGGAGAGCGGGAAAAGCTCTCCATCCAAAGTAGAAGAACTCAGAACCCAAAGCAACCGAACACCCGCCGTCTTCTCTACTTGTTGGACATAAGGTTAAGAATGCCCTGCTGCCCCAACAATATTTCGTGCACGAGCGAGCAGATCATGACCCACACGATGGGGCTGATGTCCACGCCGAACGCGGGGGGGATGATCGCTCTTGTGGGCTTCAGGATGGGCTCCGTTGGCCACGCCACGAGGTTTTGGGGTGCGCTGTTGAGGTCCAGCTAAATAGATGCAGGGCAGTCGGAAGAAGAAGAAAAAGGGGGAGGGCCAAGGCCAAAAGTAAGCCAGGTGCACAGCAGCAGTAATTCTTCATTTGCGAAGGCAGCAGAATGCCGCACAGCCCTGTATGTACAAACGAAGGCCCCAAGCGCGCGTTGCCGTGTTTGTGTCCTGTTAAGAGACTGGCGTCCTTCAACGTGTCTTTTCTGCGTGCGCGACCAACGCGGACTAAATAGAAAAGCAACAAACACCCGCGTCCGCACACCCGTGCTCCAGTCGCGTGAACTCGATACCCTTCACACACCGTGAACGTGTACTTCACGTCTCGACCGAATACTTCGAGCACATGTCGCTTCAGCCCTGCGTACTTCCCGTGCGATTAACGCACACCACGCTCTTCCTAACAACCGTCTTTTGCAGGCAAACACTCGTACTCGTGTGGCATTTGCTTTCGAAAACTCAACACATTAGTGTTGCAGCTGTCACGCAAACACTCAACACGACTTCCCCCCCCCCCCCCCTCACCTTAGGGTACCAGGACAAAACGATGCGAGCCACGAACGCGAACTCGAAGTATAACAGGGTGGGGTCCAAAACAAGCTTCGTGGGCCCCACCCACGCCGGCGCCTCCGCCGCGGCAAGGCCGGGAAACCCGCCAAGCGCGGCCAGCGCGACGACCGCGGCTCCGGTCGCTAGGCCGCTGACCGTAGACGCTGCGGAGTTGCGGTAGCGAAGATGGCATCAGGCGAACGGGTTAGCCAGGGAAAGATCAGCAAATCGCTGGTGTGGCATTGTATCTGCCCCGTCCAAATCGGTGTGTGTGCCATGCTGCATGTCTGGATGTCTCCACTAGCCCCGTGTTGTATGTTTTGCTACAAAAACGTACACTGTTCATCCTGCCAAGCTTTCGCATGGGACGCACGTCACATGGCCAGGTGTCTTCTCTCTACCCCCTCTATCCTGCCCCCTCCCTCGTTCGATCTCAGAAGGAGCCCCTCCGCCTTCCACCCCCGCCTCTCTTCACGAACAGACCCCGCACTACGTATATTAAGCCTAAACTTCCGTAAGAGCATTTTCTTCACCGGCTGCAGGCTGCAGCTTCGGTTCCGCGGCACTTCGTGTTCGCTCTTCCTCTCCAGTGCTCGCCGTGGCACCTCCGTCTGGCACACCTCCTAGAGCACTCCACGCCTGGCGAGCGCCCTTCTCCCTGCCGTAGCCACCAGCCGCTGGGCGTGATCGACTCGTCAGCGTAGTCGCAGGCGGAGCCGTGCGCAGCGCCGTTAACGCAGAACCGGAAGACGAGGGCGGGGCTACGAAGGCTGGGAAAGGCGTGTGAGCATAGCGGTTGGGGAAAGGGAGACAAGAAGGGAGGGGGGGAGAGGGGGGATAACCATGAGCTGTTTGTGTGGGCGAAAACTTCAGGAGTGACACATGCACTTGATATATGCCTACGGGCGCTGGAGAGGAAGAGGTGGCGGCAAATCTGCGGTACAAGTATACCTGTCAGGATGCAACCGCTGTAGGACAAGCAGTTTTAACGTGTTAACCTTCCTAGTGCCCAGGCCCTCCGCAAACAACAAACGTCGCAAAAACGTTTGCCAGCCATTGGTCGAGGGGCTACAGTCCCTGCAAAAAATCTGAGCTCCTTGCCAGACAAAGGGTGACTTGACTTTAGTATGAAAGTCAATATTGTCCCCAAAACACGTGGGGACACATTTCTTGACCGAAGCCAAGTCGGCAAATGTTTCCGGAACCAGGCCATGTACACCAATTACCCATATCATACAGCGTACCACCTCAGCCAAGCATCATAGACCACGGGTTCTCACGTGCGTTGCACACAGCGGAGCCTAGGGTGACTATGGTGCGGTAAAACTACAAAATCATAGGCATTTGAGTGCTGTGTCCCCGAAGTGCTCCCATTTGGGCTGCAAGAGTACAATACTGCGAGGGTTAAGACCTCGCGCTCAGTCTCTGTCCTCATCCAAAGGAGAGATCTAAAAACTTATATCCAGTGCCACCATCACGCTCTAAACAATGAACGCCTTGATTGCCAACAAGGCGTTGTTCGATGCCGAACTGCAGCATAAGAGCACCCGCGTACGTGTACAGCTGAGACGGGGTGCGGCCTACAGGCTACAGCAGTACAACGGGCTCATGTTGCAGATCCTGACACATGGCCACATGATAATATGACTACTGCTTCCGTGCTGTCACTCGGTCTTTCTCATACTCGTTGGCGTTTTCTTCTCTGTCCCAGACGCGGCCGAACGTCACACGGCAGTTTCACATCAGCAACACTGGGCACGCCAGCCCCTACTGCTGTAACTCGTTCGTGGATCATGTCTGCGCTATACAACCTCTCCATGCAATACGTGTGACAGACATTACAGAGGCTACCTTGCCGTGTAGAGCACACGAACGACACCCACCGCTCGAGAAGCATGAGACCTCTACCGCCACAAGGACAGATACTACTGCTGCGCTCGGCCTTGACCACAACATGACTCGCTCGCTCCCTCGCTCTCTCTCTCTCTCTCAGTCTCTTGGCAGGTTGTGTGTAAATCGCCCAAGGCTTGTGCAAGGTTGTGCAATGCAAGAGGGTTCTGGGGGGACGATGGATTGTCATGTGGTGGAGTGGGTGCTCCGCGGAATAATAACGAGAGGAGGAGACAGCGACAGCGCGACAGCACACAGGCAGAGTTGCGATTGCATGTGTTGTAGACGCAGGAAGGGGAGAGAGAGCGACCGACAGATATCGCGACGAGAGACCGCCCCACCGCAGAACGCGACGCGAGCACTTCCCTGATCAAGATAAAAGGGCCTTGATTTGACTCACCAGCTTGCCCGGCAAGTTCCTCTCCCCCTTCCAACTTCACCTTCAATCTACCCGAATCAACATGCCATCGTCTCCGACCCTGCCCCCCCTGGTCGAGACCTTCCCCGAGGACAAGTACCCCCTGCGCGAAGTCGGCCAGGGGTTCACAGCGCAAGCGTGCCAGGGCGAAGCGGCGCAGGCTTGCGCAGCGATTGCGGCCGAGATGTTGGACGAGTCGAGGACGGTTCAAGTATCTCACACCTCGGTCAACTCGGATAGCTTGGATGCGTCGGGCATGGAGGCGTTCCCGGTGGACGATCTACCGCTACCCGATGGTGCTGTTGAGGTGGGCGATGTGTTGGCTTTCGCGCGGCGCCTTTCGTTGCGAACGTAGTTGTGTCTGCTGCGGCCGGGACGTTATCTCTAGATGGGGTGAGAGGAATGAGGACCAAAACGCCCCGAGAGCAAGAAATGTCCCCGCCGGCCATCTGCGCAGCAGCAACAAAAGACATGAATGTGTCATATGCTGCATCATCAGCGTACCAGAGTGTGCTATGCAATCTGCTGCTGTGTTGTAGCAGCAGCGACAGGTAGCTTTCCTGCTACGTAGGATGTGCGAATCAGAGTCGTCGCACGCGTCGAAGGTGCTGTCGAGATCATGGTGGCACATGGTATGCATGCAGCGGCAGCTGTGTATGCGTTCTCAAACCTTGTATGAATAGTCCCAAAAAAAGGAAAGCGGCGGGTTGCTCAAGAACTGCAACCGATCGCACTCTCCATGCACCCCGCCCACGGAACATCTCGGCTGCACCGCAAAGCAAGTGTGTTGTCATCCCACAAGCTTCTGCACAACCGCTGCGCCTACCCAACCCCCACACCAGCCTCTCTCAAATGCGGCCTGTTGCTAGAGCTATGGTTCTTCAGTACTCGGTATTCAGTATGCGCGCGAGAGAGACGATGACGATATCTCGGGATACGGTCTCCGTCACCAAATCTTGCTCCAAAAGTCGTCAAAGAGCTGTGACCATTTGTTCGAACGAGCGTGACACGTGCCCCACGTCACACACGGATTATATACGCCGCAGCTGCGCCCATGATATCTCCACTTTATTTATTATTTTCACATTGCAGCTGCAGCAGCAGCAGCAGCAGCAGCAGCATGTAGACAGCGTGTACAGAGGGGGCGGAACGTGCTGAAAGTGCTGAAAGAGCACACGCGGTGGGTTTACTCCCCCTCGTGTGTGAGGGATGATACTATGATAACATCAAGTACATACAAGGCTGGGGTTTTTATCCTTCGACCTCTTGGGCGCCGGCCGCACCCTGCGAGCCACAGAACGAAGCGTAAGAGTCCGTGTATATTTGCTACGTGTACGATGCAAGGAATATACATAGCAGCACAACAGGAGATATATGAAGTATCCTCGCACATGTTTGGCGGCGTTCCACTGCGCATTATTCCATTTGAAGGAAAGACGAAGAATATGCGGCTGCAGATCCTGAAAAGGTGCTCTGATCAGAAATTGTACCCTGAACAGCGGAAACGCCGATACAGCGGCACCAAATCGCTTGTCGCCGCTTCAATCCGATTTAACGCCAATCTATGTACCGCTATTGATTAAGGATGGCGGTGAATTTCGTGCTCTCCCGTCCTCAATTAGCGGCGGTAGATAACCAACAAATAATGTGAGAAGTAACCAGAAACGGGTATACCCGGGTGGATTATCACCATTTCAGGGTACACTTGGAAATCAACACAACACCAATCTCCGACAACATCCGCCGTAGATGCGAAACCAATAAACCGCTTTCTTTGTCCTGTGTCCTGTGCCTCGGAAGCATGATGCACGAGGCAGGTCGTGCCCGTTTTTCTCTCTCTCTCTGCCTCTCTCTCTGTGTGTACTTTTACTGATCAGCACCATGCCGAACGAACTCGCGCGTCAAGCGAGTCCGACCCTCTGTCGAGAGGGGCTGGTATCCTATGGAGGCGGTGCCCATGAACGAGCGAGCTTTGTTGGTGGTTTGGTTGTGGTTATGTATGTGCAGTACACGGTATGTGCGGTACACGGTTTTTTCTGCGGGTTTTATGCTAGAGCGTCGGGCGCCGGGATTATATGACCATTTCTGGGTACAAAATCGACCTCTTCCGGGTACACCAGTAACCAATATCGGTCACACCAAGGGTCCTAATTCCAGCGGAAGTTGTACCCGATGGAGGTTTCTTCAGAAATGGGTACGATGGTTTTTCGGCCAATCAGCTGACAGCCTGGGGGTGCAAGCTTGTTGATTTCTAACTGTACCCTAAAGTGGTGATAAAGTACCCGGGTTACCCGTTGCTGGTTATTGGTCAAATAATATTTAACAGCGGAGCCCCTGACTCTGCTGCTGCCGACCAACTCTCCGCTTGTGCACACCATACATTCGCCGGCCGTGGCCGCCACCGCCGAGCCTTTCGCTTGTCGTGCCAGCATGGGCGGATGGAGAGTTGTTCAAACTTCAATTATAGCCGCGGGTGAAGCCTTCCTTGCATACATTTGCAGCGAAAGTAGTTTATTTTCACTGAGAGAGCTGTACGGCAGCAGTATGGTATGGAACGGTGGAACGAGTGACAAGGGCGCGCTGGAGAATGAAGACATGCCTCTGTGTGATTGTAGTGCATCAACTTGCGATTCATTTTTGGGGATATCAAGTGTATCTAAAAGCTGTGATCACGCAAGTTTGTAGTGTTGAATCAGACTTGTTCTCATTGGCCAATCGGTTAGCACCATTTAGCACCGTCGAATGCTATTTCACGTATGCGAGAGAGGGGGGAGTACGAACCGTTCCATGCGCCATCCTTGTGTGCTCTAGGCCCACCCATCCCGTGCTTCCGCGGTACGGTTTCCGGTATTGTTAGATATACTGAAGATACCACCTCCCTTGAACAACAGCAGTTCTTTATACAACGTTGCTTGCCGTTCTCCGTTCTATATACATGTATTCTGGTTGATGTTTCACCACCGTTGTAGAGAGATGCAGCGTTCCTCTGCCTCCTCATCCGCGAATTCTATCGAGAGTCAGCAGCATCAGCGGTCGATGGATACTGTACGCACATCCACGAAGAGGGTTGGTTGGTAACATGGTACAATGACCGACCCCATTGATGCTGGCTCCTGGGACGATGAATCGCTCCAGCAAGTGGGGGGTGGTGGCTACCACGGATGGACCGTTGGAATTTAGACTTTTTGTTTGTTGAGTTCTTTTTTCCCTCTTGTCTCCAACCCGCCCTCTCTCGACATACAGTACCAGCATCCCCCCCTCAAGCACCTTGAGCTGCATACACTCACAGAAAAACACAAACCCGTTCGAGATGAAACCAAAATTGAAAGTAGCTATCTTTGCGTGGTCCTCTAGAATAGGACCCGTTTCGCGCGCGTACGTGTGTGTGTGTGTGTGTGTGTGTGTGCCGCATACACGAACGGTTCACGGATGGGTGCTTCTTCTTTTCAAGACAATATACATGCCACGAAAATAATTACATCCGTTCGAGATATACCCCCACACCAGCCCCAAGGGGATGCGTTGAAGTCGTGACGGTGGGTGGAAGCATAGCTTGGCTTATCGTTTTATTATTATTTTTTTCTTCATCAGACCGGTTTGCTGATCCTCCGCAACGAGAGGATACTACCGGGGATGGTGGGGATCTCGCTCCCCCTCAAGGGCAACCTCTGGGTACGCGAGGACGGGACGTGCAACCTGTCTGGCTTCTTCCGTCGCCAGATACCCAAGTGAGGAAGTCGGGTCGCACCGGGCGTGCCTGTTGCTGCTGCTGTTGCTGCTGCTGTTGTGTTGTGTTGCTCGCGTTGCGATGTGATGTGATGATGTGTGTTGCTACTCAAGAAGGTGAATTGTGATGATGAAAGTACAAGAGCTTGGCGCCGTCATCGCCGCCTTGTGAGTGCATGGTGGGCTCCGAGCGGAAACCGCAACACGCGAGCGTCTCGTCAGTTTTCAGGAGGGGGGGGAGTGTGTGTGACGACAGGAGGAGCGACCAAGGGACCTGTTATTGTGGGGGGGGGGGGGCGAGTGAGAGGCGATGTCTTCTTTGCCTTTGTAGCATCCCCTCTTTTGGAAGAACCTTGACCAGTAGAGAAGCGCACCCAAAACATTGCCCGTTAACTTTCCTTTTGTTCTGCTCCTGCTGCTGCTGCTGCTGCTGCTGCTGCTGCTGCTGCTATCGCGACAGGTTCGAGTTGGGCTTGCTGATGGCGGCGAAAGAGGACATGTCGAAATTTCTGGACTGCTACCACGCCGTGTACCGTCCCGTTGTCGAGGCAAGAACTGCGTTGGTATTGTGTTCATCATTTTTTTGTGTGTCCCTTGTGGGAAAATGGATACAGCAGCTGCGGGATATGATATCTAATGTGGAGGCGACTTTATTTTGTGTGTGAGAGAGGGACAGAGAGAAAACGCTGCTTGTGTTGCTGTTGGGAGCAAAGCAGGCACCAGTTCTCGCTCTTTTCTGCAAATAATTTTTATCGTTACGGTGTGTGAAGCCCGACGCGAGTTGTTGTGTCCTCTGCGTGCACTGTTCTCCCTGTAAAACTGAAGTCTCGAGAAATAGTTACCGTTCACGGCAAATCCTGTGTTGTAAAGTCAAGCCGGAACGGCGTTCAGAGGAATACTGTTGCCTCTGTTGTGGTGTTGGTTGATATGTGCTTGTTCTAGTTGGCAACAACGATGTCGACCACGACGACGATACTCATATATAGTGTGTCTTCCTTTTCTCCCCCGCGCTCCCACTGCTATCGCCCCCATCTTCTGTTTTTTCAGCATGCGGCACAACGGCAGCAGTTCCAGGTTATTAGGACGTTGTTGGAGACAGGCCTCGGGTACTACAAGGACGATTCTCCCACTAGGAGGTGACACCTACATCATCTCGGCAGACATGAATCACAACACACCAACACGGAGGTCACCACGCAACAAGAACAATATCAACATCACCAAACAAGAGTTGGTTAGACCAAGGACACGCGACCGCTCTCTACACTTGAGGGTTGGGAGACCCTTCAGTGTTGTATGCACATACCGCGACGAAGCACTGAACAACCACGACACCGAGAGATGGACGAAACACCTCATTGCCGTACGCTTTACTTGCTGATCGGTTTTGATCGACGACGTGTGGACCACGTTCGGGGTATCCGAGCCGTGTTTTTTTAGTTCGAACTTGACACGAACTCTCGGTTCCTGGCTTGCTCCCAGTGAGTGACTGCCCCTGGCCCACCAGCTGTTGTTTTCTCCCTGCTTTGTGTCGTACGCGCGTTTGTCACTCCCTGCTTGCTCGAACCCGCTTTTTTCTCCTACAAAAAGCACAACAAATCCATCTTGCGAGTTTTTATTTTTTCATTCTTCGCTCCTGCGGCCGTCGTGGGTGCGTTTTTTTCCAGAGATCTGTTGGAGCTGCGCGCGCGAGTGACCAAGCTCAGGTCACGGTCCTCGGCCTCTTCAAAGGACGCCGCAGCGGCAGCAGCTGCTGCTGTTGCAGCGGGTGCCTCTAGCCCAACGTCGGGCGGAAACGTGCGTGCGTGCGTGCGTGCGTGCGTGCGTACACACGCGTGTGAAAGTCTGGTGTTGGAGGGGGTGGTGGTGTTGCTGGGTTGGCGTCGGTTATTCGTGGCCATGCCCTGGTAGATGCCTGTTGCAGATGGCCATGGTGTGTGTGCTTGTGGTTGGTAGGTTGATGGTGGGTGTCCAGCGGTGGTAGTAGTGAAGTCGTTTGTTTGCCGAGTGTTTCGACATTTACGTGCTCCCTGTTCTGTGGTGCTTCAGGCCGTTGGCGGGCTCTGTTGGCTTTTCACGGCGATGCCTTAACGCCCGCAAGCATGCCCCAAGTGGCACCTCTGTGGGTGCCACCTCTGACACTGATCAATCGTCTAAACGTGTGTAGTTAGTTATCCGATTGAATTTTTTCGTTTGTTTGAAATGTGGTGGTCACAGCTGGTGCTTCTTCTGGCGATACAAGCTGGTAGTATAGCTGTGATGCGTGGCACAAGAATATCCTAGAGTAATATTTGAGGCATCACCAGATTCTTCCGACATTGATAGAAAGATGGTGCTGTTGTTGCTGCTGTTTCTTCGGAAGCTTGATGTTCTCAGCTAATAGCTATAAACCAGTTCCATCGCTCCCCTCTTTTGGCGCTTACGGGGAGCGACTCGCGCGAGACGCCAAGCGCGCAGGACGCAATAACGGTATGTTGTGTATGTTTCGGGTAGGGTTAGTTGTCACAGAACTGACAGCAGCACCGATATATACCTCTACCGGTACCGTACCGACCGTTAACCCTTGGAATGATTGCTGCGTCATGCCTGAAAAAAACGATCTCAGATGTCCACGGAGGAGGTGATGGAGACCCGAAGGCGGATCTCCGATTCCAAGCTGGAGAAGGACGGGGCCGGGGCCGGGGCCGGGGAGGGCACCAGGAGCACGTCCTTCGCCTCGGGGGGCGAGTCTGACGACGCCAGCAGGTCCGGCCGCGTGGGATCCGGCCCAGACAGAAAACTCAAGGTTAGGCGTTGCCTGTGTGTGTGTGGTGTATTGGTGTTTTTGTCGGAGGGGGGCTCGCGGTGGTGGTGGTGGTTGTTGTTGTGTTTTCAACAGTTGCTTGCTGTTGTTGTGGTCGCTGTGTTGTTGTCGTTGTCGTTGTCGTTGTTGTTGTCAACGGTTGCTTCTTGTGGCAGCGATGGCTGTGGTGCGCGGTCTTGGTTGCCGATTGGTGCCCGGCCCCGCTGGCCGACGGTGCCGGCAAGCGTCTTGCGTCTGAGGCACGTGGTGTCGTGTGGTGCGTGGAGGGCGACTGAAACCGCGGACCAACTCAATTTTGCATGACTAGGGTTTCTGCACCATTTGGAGATCACGTTTCCAACGCGGGTTGTTGCCGACTGTAAGGAATGCACCATTGAGGATTCCTCGCTTCTGCCGCTGGTCTGCCCTTGGTCTGCCCTGAAACTTCTTGTGCTCTTTCAATACCGCCCGTGCCCGTTGTAGCCCTCTCCTGGGACGTATTCGCCACCGCTGTGTGCAGCAAGGTGTGCAGGTGTCGCCCCAAAGTGATGATCACAAGGTGCAACACAGTTCATTGATTTATCTGTAGACCCCCTGACACACGAAACCCATACAGCGGGGCATACCAGCGTTGCAACAAAAATGTTCCTTTCTGATGTCGTTTTCTCTTCTGTCGGGTAGACGATGTTTCCGAACCTCCCGTCTTCTTTAGTGCGTACATGTATTGATAAAAGAAAATGAATGTCCACTCAATGACCCCCTTTGTTTAATGTCGTCTTATTTCGTCCTTTTTGTTCTTGTTTCTATGCATAGATCGCTCAGGAGGTGGTTACAGTGCCTCTCACTATCTACATGGAATACAGTGGTCCCTGTTTAGTGCCGGTTGAATAGTGCCGGTGCGCGGTATAGTGCCGGTGTTTTCGGCTCGCACACACTGAAATACCAAGTAATTCTGTGCTTTGACTAGTGCTGGTGAAATCTCTGGACACATACCGGCACTATACAGGGCCCACAAATGCTGTATCCACTTTTTGACTCCTGTGTGTGATATCGCTCGTCTTCTTCGTGTCCTCCTCTTGTTCCTTGCTTCCTGTTGTAGATCGCTCAGCAAGTGGTGGGCGGAGACGCTCCGAAGCAGAGCGGGCCGTTCCGCCTTTGGAAGAGCAAGACCGGCGAGGCATCTTACAGCAAGGAGGAGCCTTCCTAGGTTATAGACAGACAAATTAAAAGCGTCTGGCTGCTGCTTGGTTTCTTTCTGTGGTTTTGTCAGGAGAGCCTTACCGTCGTGAAACTGCTCAGACTTGAGAAGGACTGTTTTTTTCTATCATCTCTTTGACCTGCCCCCCTCATTTTTCCAGGCATGCAGCGCATCATATTTTCCGTGGTAGGCATTCGGTACCAGACGGATTGCCGTGTGGTGTTTCTTTTTCGTGAGACAGACAGGTGGGAGAAAGAACCACGGTGTCTTCCGTTCTGGTAAAAAAAAGTGCTTTCGGCGGCCGCGAGAAAACTCGATTAAACCTCTCTTGTACCTTCGATGTTAGAGTATCCTCCAAATATAAGAGAGAACGAGAGGGAAAAAAATGATAAACAATAACCGTTTCTTTGGACTGACAAATTGAACAAGCCTGGAGAGGTATTTTTTCGAAGCCGTATACCAGAAAACGATGTGAAGGTAGGGAGACAATCGCTTTGGGTTGACTCCGGAGCTTGTTGTGGGGCACACGGAAATGCTGTTTAGGCACACAAACCAAGGGACATTCTGTCGTGGGAAATGGTCGATAGGCCTGCTGGTTCAAGGGCGTTCGAGAATCTTCCGGGAAACTTCCACCCTCCTCGTGGCTGAAGTCATTTTTGAGACACTTTGTAGCGTACTACCTGCGTGGTTTGAAGGCCAAAGAATGGAAATAATTCAGATAGCAAGTTCTTGGTTTTGCCTCCGGTGTGGGTGGCGGCTACGGGCCAGCCGTGATGAGGAGCATTCGGGGGGGGGGGGGGGGGGGGGGGGGGGGAGAAAGGAGGATTTTTTCCCTTCCTTAAGGGGGGAAAAAAAAAATTTTCCCGGGTTTTCCAAAACCATTTTTCCGGGAAAACAAAA